CCGCCAGGGCCCCGCCCGTGGGGGGGTTAAGGCCGGCCCCACGCCAGGTGTGACCCCAGTGGGAGTCCCACGGCCCCCCCAGGCCCCAACCCGCACTCACTTGCGCCTCAGGTGCGCCGGCTGCTTCATGTCGTTCTGCATCCTGCAAACAGAGAAGCAGGAGGGCAGGGGGAAGCCGAGGCCACGAGAGACGGGCACGCACTGGCACCGGCACTGGCAGGCGGGCAGCCAGCCGGAGCCTCCCCTCCCCTCCCCTCCTGCAGAGCCCCGGGCCAGGGCCCGATCCTGGCCTGTCCGGCGCTGCTCCCTGGCGCTGGGGTCACGCAGGGCACACCGGCGCTGGGGCCCTGGGCCAGCCCTGCAGACAGGGCATGTCCCAGCCCCTCCTACAGCTAGAGCAAGGGATTTCCAACCCAGCGCCAGCCAGCCTGCCCCCCCGCACACCTGCGATGGACTCACCTGACATTCACCATGTCCGCCGGCGTCCCCACAAACCCACCCGTGAAACCTGCCACCAGCAGAAACGGGGTCAGGGGGCTGCACCAGCCAGGGCAGCTGCACCGAGGCTGGGCCACCCCCCGCCCGTCCTGGCTCACCTCCCACGGCGCCCAGCAGCACTTTCTGGTAGAAGGGCAGAGGGCCCTGGCTGCCACGGCCCAGGTGGTCCCGCACCGTCTCGTAGATGGCAAAGCGGGTCAGGGAGTATGTCATCTGTGGGGAGGGAAGTCAGGGCCGGGCCAGGGCACGGACCCAGCGAGATCCCTGCCCCAGGCACCAGCTGAGCCCGGAGCCTGCACGTGGCTCCTGTGCTCTGGCAAGGCCAAGGCAGGAAGGGGCCAGTCTGCACGCAGATACTCCCAGTGCTGGGTGGAGGCGCCCCCGGGGCAGGGGCTGCTGTGGGTCTGGGGCGGACGTGGCCCTGGCACTCACCTGCCGGCACAGCGAGGCACTGAGCCCGTTGTAGAGTGCCAGGACACCGTCGGAGCGCACCACGCGCAGCGCCATGCCCGTCATGCGGATCTTCACCTCCTGCTGTGTCTGCAGGTGCACCTGGGTGCGGGAGCCGGGGTCAGTGGCAGCCAGCCCCATCCCCCTTCCATGAGGCCCAGGCTGCATGGATGAGCCTAAACTCCCCCACCCTGCCGAGGGTCACAGCCTCTCCAAAGAGCAGGTGCATCAAAAGTGCCAGCACGCGGCTCCTGCCCCCCAGGCCCAGCACCTAGCTCCCAGGCCCCCGCTCCTCTGCTCTGGGGTTCCTGGTGCTAGCTCTTCCTAGCAGGAGCTGGGGGGCGTGGGATGGAGGTAGCACAGGGACTGCAGCCCTTGTCACTCCACACCGCCCGGAAGTGAGTCAAAGGGCCACGGGCAGGAGCCCAGCCTGGGCTCGAGTTACAGAGCAAGGACGGGGGAGCAGCAGCCCAGGGGTGCGGGACCGGGCAAGGGGCAGGCCGTGGGGATGGGGCTTCCGCTCCCTGCATGGGCTGGCATGGGGCCGGGCAGGACTCGGGGAAGTGCTGAGCAAAGCACCACTGCACAGAGGGGAGGGCGGGCGATGGCTCCAGCAGCCGGACCAGAGCAAAGGGCTCTGGTCTGCCCCCACCTGCAGGAAGAGGGGCAGGGCAGCCGCCTGCCCAGAGCAAAGGGCTGCAGCGGCTGCTGCCAGCAGGCTGTGGAGGAGGGGGGCACCCAGCCAGGCAGCACTGGGCAGACCGGCCCAGAGGGCAGCCAGGCACAGCGCGGTGCCAGCAGCTCTGCCAGCGGGGCTTGGGCGGAGACGTCCTGCAGGACGCGGGCC